TCTTATATAATGTATCCGTATGCCAGATATATTTTTATGGATGTGTATTCTGTTTTATCTACTTCATATGCACATAAATTAGAATATGTCTGCCTCTATGACATGCAAGCACCTTGCTTAAAATATGCCCCGGAGATTGAGAATACCATGAAATCTCAGTCTCAATTCCAACATACTCTTCAAATGAATGTTTTTTCAGATGGAGTTAGACGGTGCATGAAACTGCAGTGCCAGAACTTGCTAGAACTTTCAAGTATCTTCCCTGGGTCGTATTTCATGATGTTTCCTTTTTAAGTTGGTTTAATATTATAATCCTTACTCAGAAATGAGCTTTCATGAAAAAATCAATAATTACCTTTGTCACTATTTATTTAATGAATCCATGGAAAGACTTCATTAAATTATAAATGGCTCATTATTGATATTCTCATAATAGATTTGTGAAACTATGGTGTGAGCCAGTTATTCATTTCAAGGAAGATACAATACAGAGAGATCAGTGCATGTCCAGTGAAATGACTGCTAGTTTTGCTAATGCAATATTCATGAGAATTCGCCAAGACAATCACATGTAATCCCAGAGAATATGAATTTGAAATTAACACTTTTAAATTATAATTATTCGTTGGCAAGAAAGTTTAGCAGGATTTATTGTTTATATAATTGAAATGACTTGCTATCTGTCAACATGGGTAGGGTATGTTTTGAGAATATTTAAGGTTTCTGAATGGAACCATAAATACTAACCCTATTAAATATGCTTGATAGTAATATCTTCTACTTTATGCACATTGACATTTTTTTCTTAGGGAAAATGTGACCCTTTGGATATCATTTTTTTTTTCTTTTGGAACTGGGGATCGAACTCGGGTCTTTGCTCTTGCGCAGCAGGCGGCAAAACCACTGAGCTAAATCCCCGGCCCCCTTCGGATATCATTTATATCTATATTGCTTCTCTAGTTCCTGATGCAATTTTGGGTGTGACAGACAATGTCTTACTTGGGGTGAGACCTGTTTTGTGGATCTACTTTGGCATTTGGAGTTGGGTTTTGTTCTAGCTAATTTTACAAATTTTGATCTGTGAGATGTCCAAGATGAAGGTTGAGGCAACAGTTCATCATATCCAAGAACAGATGGTCATCATTTAAAAGTCAGAAACTCTTGAAGCTTCACTCATCCTCATTTTTCTTAATGGTTTATTTAATATGTTACAAGAGAGAAATCAAGTCCTGTGAAATGTGGGGATTTCTGAACCCTAGGAAATAAGTATGTTGAATTTCATGTAGCGGAAAGGTTTAAGGATAAGCTAAATGGATTTATTCTGAGTTTGGGGCCTTTTTAACTTTAGTATTATAAAACTTCTATTCACAGAACTTGAAACTTTTTAATAATTAGAAGCCTGAGGAAAACAGACAATTGCGGCCTTCTGTAAGAAACTTCAAGAATGTTTTCCAGTCTTTCTCCTAGTGTAAGGGACGCTTCTGTGCTAGAAGGAATCCGAAAACAATGGACAGCGCCGGAATAGCATAGATCTTCATGCACTTGCTGTGTGGCAAGAGCAGCTTCCTAGGATGCAGCAAGAATTTACACTTGTGGAAATATTTTCACTGACTCCAGAGAAGCTCAGGAAAGGTCTCAAAACCACTGTGGTCACTCTTGGGTTGTAAAAGGTTATCTGTTCACTTTTAGATATAAAAAGTAACTTTTTTCATTTTGCTATACTAATATACTCTTACAACCTCAGTTAAGGCCTCTCCATTTTACTCTTCCTTGGGCCACACTGGAGATCCCACTTGCACTAGGAGGAGCAGCATGTGATTATTTTTTTCTACTGTTTCCATGACTCTCCCTGAATTATTCAAGGATGAGAAATGAGAAATAAGGAATGGAATGACTGTGCTTGGCTGTGCACTTAACCACATCATTCGAATTCCCTGACCTGAAACTCTTTAGAGATGGGTTAATGCACCTCCTACAGATGGTCATTTAGGATTCCTGCCTCAATCCCTGGGCATCCATGCTGCGTGAACATGGGCTTTCTGTTGTTTTATTGACCACCCAGTCCTTGGCTTCAGTGGCTCTACTAAACAGGGAACTGGATACAACACAATTCTGGGGTGGCTCTCTGACGTCTGATCCAAGGGAATACTCACATGTTCTTGGTCTTAACAGACTCTCATGATTGAGTAACCTCTGTGCTGTGGTATGTCTTTGTTTTGCCAACAGGCCATCAGGCAGCCACAGTGTCTCCCCCTAGAGGATTTCTCAGGCATAGTCAAATCCCTAGTTGCTGATTACCACAGGCACTCCTACCAAATTCCAGAAAACCATATCAAATTTTCTGAGATGTTTCATTCAAGTCCCTTTCCCATGCCCTTAGGATAAAGGAAAAGTAACCTTCCTCCTTGGAGTTATGTGCAAATCCCATCACATCCTATCTCTTAACATCCTAGTATACTTATCAGTCTCTTCCTGGTCTTTCCTGCCTTTTTGATGGACTAGATTCGGCGTCCTAAATGCACTGTTAAGTCTGGCTTATGCAATTTTATACTTCATTTTATAAAATGGAAAAACAGTGTTTTTAATTGGTTATCGCATCATTCCTAGATCTTAGCTAAAAGTAAAAGAAAAAAGAACCCAATTTAACATCCTACTGTATTCACATATTAATTTGCTTACTATCCCTTATAAAATTATTTTAAGCACAGCGATTAGCACATATTTATTAATTTCAAACAATACAAGGCCCCGCAGTGCTTCAACTTTTGCAACAGAGAGAAAACAGGTAGCAAAGAACACCTAGGTTTATGAAATATGCTAACTGCACCTATCAGAAATGATTGCGAGCCCAGACTCCGGAGCCATACTACCTGGGTTTGAATTACAGCTTTTCCTTCTCTAGCTGTGCAGCCACAGCCAGGTTTCTTTTCTTTTCTTTTCTTTTTTTTTTTTGGTACTGGGGATCAAACTTGAGTCCTTGCAGTTGCGAGGCAGGCGCCGGAACCACTGAGCTAAATCCCTGGTCCAACAGCGAGGTTTCTTGATCACTCTGTCTCCATGACTTCATGTGTAATATGGAGGTAAAATAGTAGCTCTATCACAGAACTGGTCTGAGGAATACCATCATACTGAGGAGAACACTATATATACCTGTTTGGTTGTTAGGAAACTCAAAGCAAACAAGGAAATTTTAAGAGTTGCATAGACTTGGTCTGTTGTTTCCCTTGGACATTTTTTTCCCCACTGTCTTTCTCATTATCTTTATTTTTTAATACATGGTATTGTAAGACATTTCCATTTTTTGTAGAATGATTCAGGTGATAAACAAGAAATTTCTAATAAAAATGGAAATTTGTCTAAGGAGTTATGGAGACATTTTTTTATTTTTAATCATTTTTACTTCACATCTGTGAACACGCGTTATTTTCCAATCTTACCAGAATTCCTATTTGCTCACGTTCAATAAATTATATATATAATATATAATTATATATATATACAAGGAAATTTTAAGAGTCTCATTTGAGATCTGATCAGCTATCTTGCTTTAACAAATATGTAGTGTCAAAATAGAAAAATAATATTTTACAGTCACATGAGCCATCAAACCTGAAACAAAACAAAAAAACAAACTTCTTGTAAGAAAGAAATGGTTTATGGACAATGAGAATCACAGGGAAAAAGAAAACTTTTAGGATGTGTGCATCAAGAAGATAATGAGTTATGTCAAAAATAATATTTGAACAATTCCCTTCTATTAATGCAGTTTTATAGGCGACTATTTTTGTAAGACTTCTCAGTGTAAGCTGATGCCACTCTCTTGTTGCTGAGTTCAATGATGAGAACCCAGCAAAGGGCCAAGATAATGTGGTCCTATCCTTCAGGTGTCTAATATTCTGATTTAAAGTTTCTACAGGAATAGATGGGCTATATGTCCTTTAAACCCCTCATCCCCTCATGTCATTTCTCCCAGCTGAGGTTGATGAAAGGTGATCCGCAGACAGTTTGAGGTTATGTACTCTGACAAGGGCCTGCAGACAGGTATTCTGTGCTACTGATTAAGGGCAAATCCATATGCTTTGAAAATCAGCTTAGCTCCTGGTAAGAGTTGATGGTTCTACTGTTAGTGGTTCTCAGAGGCCCAGGATGTAAGCACATGTTTTTCTTTGCCACCTTATGTTATGACATTCTAATGTTAACAGCTGTAACTTTACACTTAGAGTGATTTATAATGCCACTATTCTTAATTGAGAGGAATTAATTTTACAGAACTATATCTTAGCTTCATGTTAACTTAGATATAATCTAAAAATGAGAGAACTAAATTTTAGTTCTAATGTACCTCTATTAAGTAATGCAACCTTGACCAAGTCATTTTAGCTTCCTATGTCAGAGTTTCATCATCTGTAAAATAAAGAAATTGAATAATTTTTTGGCCTGTAAAACTGGATGGTTTTGTGAATAATGACTAAGAAACTACGTTCATTAAATGCCCATCTCTGTGCCCCCTCACTGTTACAAGGGTTCTGTTTTGTGAGCATTTGTCAGTTCTTTCTAAGGAGACTTCTTGCTTTGATTTAGCAGCTATTGGCGGGGGGGGGGGGGGGTTCACCTGTCTTTTTTCTTGTGAAGTAGGGAGAGTGCAGTAAACAGTTATGTTGAAGGACATGAAAGGATGTCCTTTCATGCAAACAGCTGTGCACCTTCTCTCTGGCCACCACTGGGGAAAAGGCAGCTCAATTCCCTTGAAAGTGTATCTTTAGAGATATCTATTATCCATGAAAGAGTCTCCGATTTACTCAAATGTCAAGAGTCTTGCTTAATACATACAGCTTTTCATATGGCTTTAATACATATGGCTTTTCAGAAGTAAAATTAAAGGAAAGCAGCTGTTTCCAATGCATGTTCTTGGACAGTACCTCAAATGTATCTCTCATCAAATGCTGACTAATCGGCTCAATTGAATCTAACTCTTTTTGGTTTTTTCCTCTCTCCTGTAGCACCAAGGAAAAATTGGAGTTAAGTTTAATGTTGGGACAGATGACATCGCCATTGAAGAGTCCAATGCAATCATTAATGATGGGAAATACCATGTAGTGCGTTTCACGAGGAGTGGTGGCAATGCCACGTTACAAGTGGACAGCTGGCCAGTGATCGAGCGTTACCCAGCAGGTAAGTGTGGGAATTAGTATCTGGGAAAGATTTTATGAAAAATAAACTAGAAAACAAAGCACTGTTTTGCATCCGCCCCACCAAATTGTGCTTTTTTGGGAAACCATCAACTATTTATTGGACTTTAGAGTCATGTGAACGTAATGCTGTCCTAAACTGTTCTTGCTACCATGTACAAATGGCATTTTATAGGTGAAATTGAAGGCACACGTTATCGTTTGCAAAATGCAGGACATTAGTGAAAGCAGAAAAATGCACACATCAAAGGCACAACATGTCAAAGCTCTTTTTACTGGATCCTTGCATTTGAACAAAGGAAAGGCTTTGTCAAAAGTAACAAAGTTAAAACTTAAAACTAAGACAGGGAATATTATAGACTATTTCTTCCGAGAGAAAGTAAGATTGGAGTATTCCTTTGATGGCAGCACAGAGCTCAAACTCAGGAGAGGTGGGAGTTGAGCAGGAGATAAGCAGAGTAGTCCAGAAACTGTAGTGCCAAACCCTAGCACTGAAGGAAACTGGTGTCAGAAACCAGCAGTTACAAGAATATTTATGTTTTAAAATTTTGCTTCCTCTTTCTATAACTGTGGAGTTTCACAAGGCTTCTGTGAAGCCTAGTGTTATTCATTTCCAGTCTGCAAAATGAATGTCATGCCATTTTTGGTAAAGTAAAAATGATCATTTCAATTGTTAATGAGCTTTTCAGTACTGTTGCTGAAACAAGGGTGGTAGATTAGAAATGTAGACCAGTGTTACTTGCATTTGCACATATTCTCAATTTAAAAATAAATATATTATTTTAAGTAGGGTACAAATTTAAAATATTAAGATAATTAAAAGAAGCTATTCTTCCTGTTTTAGTGCAAAATCACTTCTTAAAAGCATTAGTCTCATTTGTCTCTGTTCCCAGCTATGTTTTTTTTGTATAGCATACAACTTATAGCATGGTATAAAGAAAATGAAAAAATAAATTTTTATCCTACACAATAAAAATGACAACTATAAGTATATATAATTAAATTCCCTATTAGAATTATTTGTTTCTTAGAAGACATAATTTCATAAAATAATGAATGTACTAAATAAGTATCAATTTTCCATAGTACTGACTCACCATTATGAAATGAAATAGCAGTGATGCTTCTCTGAACTTTTCTGATTTACGTAATTCTACATCTTCAAGCTCTAGCTCCAAAGTACTCTGTAAGAAGAGTGCTGTGCAAATATTCACTGAATGAAATGTAATAAAGCTGCACTATGATAAAATTCAAAAGTGAACAAATTAATAATGTGCCCTGTCTATTATAGTATTAGCAAAGAGTGAGCATTTAATAAATATTTCCCAAATTGGTGTCCCAGAAATTATAACAATTTTACAAGTATGTGAAAACAGTGCTTCTGTCATCACCAAAAAGATGAAGGGATGGAAGATCCGAAATGAAAGTAACCTGAATATGCATGGAATACTACTATAGCCTCTGCCAATAATCTCCAGTGCAGTTACTGAAATCCTGGTATAAATGTACTTTTAAAAATTACCAACTATTCCCTCACTGAAATTGTAGAAAAGTACACTGATAGTTATCCTAAAATATGGACTAATCAATCCATGTCTGGTGAGACCAAGCCATTGCATGGGATACCAGGAAAGGCAAAGCAGTGTAAGGTCTAGGTTTTGCTCATAGGATGTTGGCAGCTCTGAAGAGTAGACTGAAGGCGTAACATGCTATTTCATGTTACTATTATATGTGACAGTTAGTTACTTTTTGAGGGCTACCTTTGTTTCAACAATTAATTCTTTAAAATATCTTTATTTAAATAAAGTTACTTTATTTAGTTACATATCAACACTCTTTAAACCCTAATCTTCAAGAATTCTGTTCTAGAGGTTATTAATGGTTACCACAAGGGAAAAGAGAAAGACATGATTACATCAGTTTGGGAATTTATGGGTTAAACTAAGTTATTAATAGTCGAATGTTATTTTGATAATATGCTTAATTCATCACTAAATGAGAAATACAGTATAAGTTTTGAAAGCATGTATCATTCAAATGTAGTAGTGCATCAATCCACTTTTGTAAATATTTCATGGTTTTAAAATTTTCTGTCTCACAATTTTACTGTAATTCATGTGATTAATAATCTTATAACTTTGTATATACAAGATACCATCCACTGGGTGGTACAGTCTCAAAAGTGATGCTGTTTGTGGCAGGCTAATGTTCTGATACTGGGATTGGACCAATATTATTTGAAGGAATATTTGTAGTTTTAGAGATTAATATTTTACTACATGTAATTTCTCATTTAAAAAATCACAGTGGACCCTCAAGTTATGACCATCCTGACACAGGAACAACTTTGGTTACAACTGGAATTTTAGTTTTAACTTATGACCACAGTCTCATGTTATGACCAGGATACCAGCAGCGTGCTTCCAGATGGTCTCAGATACAGATTTAACCCTTAAAGAGTTCTGGAAAGAACATTACAACATTCCTTCGCATGTGGGGTTAATTGAGAAATCCTGGGCCAGTGTCTCTCTAAGAACACTGAGATCTGCCTGTATACAGAAGAGAGACTTTGAAGGCTGTGGAGAGGAGGGTGAGCCTTCAACTGACCAATTTAAGTTACAACCGGCCCCCACATACTAATTGAGCTCAGAAGTCAAGGGTCCACTGTAAATACAAAAAAAAACATGATATAAAATATATTTAAAGATTAGAAGTTGACAGTATCATAATAACTACAGAGCTAATCTTAGAAATAGTTATTTTAGCTACAACCTTCAATGCTTAGTCAAAGATTTTAAGTACCCTTTCACCAAGGAGTATTTAGGTAATATTAATAAATTCAGACTGAGAAATGTTGCAGTTATTTTGAAGGATACCAGCAAGGAAGAAAAATAAAGTCTGCCCGCAAGAAAATAAGAGCATGTATGAAAATTTTCAGTATATACATATAAAAAGTTGATGATCAATATATAAAGATTCAGTGGAGTCACCACTATTTTCATCAAATTCTTTATTAATGATTTGCTCTGTAGGCATTTCAGCATCATGCTGAGGCAGGAAATAAGCCACAAAAATGTCAAATACTGTTTTCTCTTAGAGCTTCATCTGCAACAATGCCATAAAGTTTAAATATAAATTTGAAACTGTGTCATCTAGATTTAAGTTTTTAAAACAAAACGATTTTAAATACTGTATAAGTTCAATCACAAAGTTGAGTATATACTCTTTTATATCAGTTTGTCGCATGGCTATTTTATTTTTAAAATTTTGGGGGGTTATTATTTATTAGAAAAGCAGCTGGACTAATGGTTTTACCACCAAATCCTATAATCAGAGAACCAGGAACCAACAGACTATATTTGGTTCTTTTTAAAGTGCTTGCACTGCAAAAATATAGGTAATAAGGGTTGAAATTAGTAATTAAGTTTAGCACTTAACCTTCCATTATAGGGCTTTGTGGTAAGTGCTTTTATATGAAGGAATTCATCTAGTAATGGCACTATACCTTTAATGAAAAACACCTAAAGCATTGACCAGTAGCATTACCCTATAATTGTCTGGATGGCTTTCACAGAGAAACTAATTAGTAGAGGTAGATTTTCTGCTCTTTCGGAGAATATGAAATATTCTTAGAACCCAATAATTCACACTTTAGAATAAATATTGAATTTTCTAAATAGCGCTCCTAGTTTCCATTATTTTTTGGTGCACATAGCAAAGTAAAGAAGTAATGTTTTGCAAAGCATTTAAAATTGAAAAGCCATTTCTTGGTGCATAATCAGTTAAAGTTCTAGAATATAATGCATCATTAATCTCTTGTTTGCCCCTAATTACAGTTGTGCAGCAAAATTTTCTGTCTCAACAAAAACAGACCCCCTTTTCTCATAGGATTAATCCAAGAGGGCTAACATCATCTTGCTTGGCCCGACTCAAGATTACTCCAAAAAAACTCCATTTACCTTTGGGGATAAAACTTGGAATTCGCTTTCCTATCACAGTGTCCCCAGTGATGTCTTTTATACCTATACAGGTCAAATAGTCATTTTATTGCCAAATCAGCACCTCAATACAACTCATATTTAAAGAATGTCTACTACATAAAAGAATATATTAGACTCACGGTCTGTTTACACAGATACTTTTAAAATGCTCAGGGTTGGGCCGGGGATTTAGCTCAGTGGTTCTGCTGCCTGCTGTGCAAGCACAAGGACCCGAGTTCGATCTGCGGTACCAAAAAAAAAAAAAAATGCTCAGGGTTAAACATATAATATGTGGGAAATACAGGGGTTATATTGCATTTCGCTAAAAATACGATACACCAGAAAAACAACAACAACAGTAATAGACAACAGATTCTAAGGAGAGCCCATTTTGGAGTGAGTGGTATAGTAGAACCATAAAAATAATTACCTTAATTTGCGTCTTTGCAACCAAGCATTCGTTTAGGTGGAATTAGCAGGAAAAGCCAGTCACAGAAAATCGGGAGCTATTAATAGTTCACAGGGTGAAAGAGAATAGAGGATGAATGCAGAATGCAGTATAAGACCTGCTTTTTACCTTCTCTCTGTTTTCCTCCCTCTCCTCTCTCTTTCTCTTTCCTTTTACCATAAGTAAAACTACCATGCTTCAGTGTGTCACCAGAAGGCATTACATATGAAAAGAACTAGAAACCTGTGGTAGGAACAAACAGAAATCAAAGACCTGGCTCTCGGTTGCTAATGACTTAGTCTGTTTGAGAGATGAGAGGAACTAAGAAAATCTGCCAAGGTCAAATACACTTTGAAACTGACAAAATTACTAGCGCAGTGTTTAATTACTATTGGAATTTGAAGAAGGAAAGAACTGGTGGTCTGGAGTGGTGTGACAAAGTAAATCCTTTAGGATGAGGGCACTTGAAAGAAAAAAGTAGTCCCAGGGAAGACTTTCTAGAGCTGATGTAAATACTTTTTGCGTTACTGCAATTTGGCTGGAAGATCTTAACAG